CTATCTGTATATTTGAAAAATCTTGACATTGATTTTTCCGTAGGTTCATCATTTGTCTGGAGGAAAAGCATTCCACTTTTACTGCAATTGCTCATAGCATCCCTCCCCAATAAATTGTTTTCCTTTCTTCACCTACATTTGCTTATTACTGATATATCAGCTCCTGATTAAGGAAAAAATTCTGTATATCCCAGCTAAAATTTAAGCCTGTACTGAAAGCCAGAAGATCTTGAAGCGTGTGTTTAGAGCTAACTCTGAACTTTCCTGATTCAGCAAGTTCTTAAATAATATTCTTATGTTACTGGTCAGAGTCACTTTCTTTTTATATAAGCACTCCGTCATTTTCAGTTACAAAGTTTGCTGATACAAAAGGACTATATATGAACAACTCTGCTTTTGGTGCTTTTGATATTCCAGATTTTCTGCTGTAGCATATTGTGCTCTGTCATAGCAGCAGCCTCTAAAAAACAACACACATCTCTAATTGCAGTATTTTCTGTTTTCAGTTATTCACAGTATCTTCATCCCCAAATCTCTCTCTGCTTTTGATCTGTAACTGTCACACAAAGGTGAAATAAGCACTTACAATTAAGCAGCAGTCACTATTACGAAACACTCTCGATTTTAAATTGCCTGAGTGCAGAGTAATGTATGACAACAATTTTGTGCTGATGTTGGAAAGGAAGATCCTGTTGGCTTCCACAGCATTTTCTTGGACGTAAATTCAGCTATTATGAGGATATAGAGAGACCTGGGATGGTTTATGTTTGCATTGCTTTCCATTTTGGTGATTTACAGCATACTAACCTCATGCATACATTAGGGAAGTGATGTTCCATTTCTAGTTTAAAAAAAATGCCAGGGATTATGTAAAATGGAGGGACTGAGATAAGATGGTCACAAAGTCAGTGGAAGATGTTCTGTTGTATGGGGAGTGGGTATGGTTAGTGGCTGGATGGTGCTAATTAGCAAGACTGAATTTGTTGTGTGGTTAAGACATTGCTATTTCAAGACTGTTTAGCAGATCAGGGCTTCCTTTCTCACCTTCAGTGGGATAGAAGTGGTCATGTGCAGCTGTGGCCAAGTTGTACAAGGTGGGAACATCACGCTTCCATGGCCAGAGATAATGCAGAGCATGGCAAAAGTCCCTTTAATGTTGTTTCTCACATGCTGCTCCAAGCCCTGTATTGCTGGGAAAATTCACACCTGAGATGCTGCAGACCAGATGTGGCCCATAAAGTATTTTCTGTAGTATTACAGATAGATTTTCTGTCAAGCCTCCCACATGTAGAAGACAGTATATTGATACAAATACTATTGTGAATTTAATTGTAAATGATGTAGCAGGCTTGCTTCTCACAGTTATTCACTCTGATGACCCCTGGCTATCACTACAACTTCTGGAGGAAAAAACCACCACTAGAATCCTGTGAATGACACCTCTGAAGATCACAGAATAAAAAAGCAGATGATTTCTGAAACATAAAACAGAGTTTGATGCAGAATATTGTCTGAGGCCTTTTTCAGACTGCCTATAAACCCAACTGGAATGCACGTCTGTTTAACTGATGTGGTTGAAGTTGTCTCTTAACATTAGTCACTGACAGTCTGTACTGATTGTAGGGTGTGTTCAGAGTGCATATTTTTGCACATGCATAATATTGTTTCCCTCATATACGAGAAAATGGAACAGCAATTTAAGCTATTATTTAGCAATAAGTGTGCTAGAAAGATGAATGCAAACCAATTACAAATACCATTCTTAGGTTGGTTCTTGTTTGAAGGCTTTGCCAGCTCTGTAATTACTCACAGACTAATCAATTATACAAATTTTCTTTCCACAAATAGAGCAAACTGCTAACCTGATTTCCTGATTATTGTCCTTTTACGTTTTTGTAAAGCTTTTAGATTAATTAATTCCTAGATGAGCATAATTTTACAAGCACAGAGGATGCTTTCTGGAAAGCAGTCATTAATCATTGTAATGTATAACCTCAATAATATCTTGTGTCTAAAAATTATGCTTTTCTATTAATAATTTAACATTAACTTGCGCTATGCCCTCCATTTAAGAAGTTACCCTTCTTCCTTGCTTGTTTGTAAAAGGCAAGTAATATACTTACAAACTTCCTTCAAAAGCTGTTGAAAATCAGAAATAGATGATGGAAAGTTAAAGGTATCATCTCTGATTATTTAGCTGTGGGTGAGATAGTGGTAGAATGAAAATGTTCTTCCTTTGTCAGCGTCAGTACCTATGGATCATGTTGTGCGGGTCACCAGACTCCAATTTTTAGTGACAGATCACTTGTATTAGTGGTTTTTGCACGTCTCCCAGGTCTTCAAATGAGTTTGACATTCTAACCCATTTCAGTCATCAGCCTGCAAACCTGTTATTTAGCTTTCATGTAATGGATGCAAATACTGGATTGTTCTGGAAATAAAAGGAATACATAAGTTTTTATTAAACTTACATAGAGGTATGGGTATGTATGTATGACTCTGTATTGTCCGTCTGTCTTGTCTTGGTAGGTAATCTACTTGGAGGTTATTTCTGACTGTGTGTGACCTTGAGAGTCTCTTGAGATATCTTCTCTCAGCTCCCTTAATTTTTAATAGAGATACTGATACCTGGCTGCCTTACATTATGTATAAGTTGCATCTTCCTTTGCAATGTATTTTAAGACTTCTGGGTGAATAAGTTTAATTGAAGAGAAAAACAAGTAACCTACTTTCCATCCTGCTTTGAATCCTCTGGACTTCAGATAAAGCTAAAATATAATAGAGTAATACAGAACTAGAAGCACAGACGGCTAGCTTGTGCTATACAGCCAGATATGTTGTGTTAGCTTTAAAGTCACCAAAGAATCTTGCATGTGTTCCCAGCTGTAGAGAGAATAGAGAATTTTTCTGTCATTTAAATTTTATTTTTTTTTAAATTTATTAAAGAATTTGGGTTCTCAAAAATAATTGGAAAAAGCTTTATTTCAACAAAGTGAGATTTTTGCAAAAGAAAAATCTAAGAAGTTTTTGTGAAATATCTCCATGTGGCATGTCTTGGTATTCATTCAAAGTGAATGTGTGGAATTTTGATCGCTTTATTCTGCAAAGGCTGAGCTATTTAACTGGAGTGAGAGAAGCTTGCATTTGAGCTCTGCAGCCTTGATCATTGTGCCAAGATGTTCCCTGTAGTCAAATGTACCTCTAGATTAGGTACAGTGGAAATGGTTGATTTCTGAAAGGTTTTAATGGAAAACAGTTGATGTCTGCAGAAAAAAGTAGCTTTTTTAAGTTTGTATTGCACACCTTGGTAATTAAGAGGTTCCATAAATGAAAGCTTGCTACCTGAAACATATTTTATTCTCATAAAACATCCAGGTGTCTCAAAAGTGGTATTAGTTGTGAATATTCTTGTTATCTTTGATGGAAGAAGCTCCCCTCAGTAGATTTCCTCTCATATGAAACTTAGCAACCTTGAACTCACACACATATTACTGTTTGACCTTTCAAGAGGAGAATATTATGATGTTTGAACACAAGGTGTTTCATGAAAGTGACATCAAGAAGCATGAAGCATTACTGCCATTAAAATGAGGCAATATGATGTCACTTTCAGAACTGGGATTTTAGGTTTTGAATGAGCTCTCTTAGTATTTCACTAGAATAGTTAAATTTTGTTTAATAGATTAAAGAAAAATGTTTACTATGGACACAAACTCAGTTCATCTCGCATTTTTATTGTAATGCACTTGTGAACATGTAACTAAACTGAGAAGACCAATTCAAGTGTTTAAAACAATAAAAACAGCTACCCAGACTTTTTGATCAAGTGACAGAACTATCTTCATGCTAGTGAACAAACTTGTTTCAGAAAAGTGAAAATACCTAACATGATGATTAATCTGGGTAGGATAAGAAAAGATATCTTGAGTGCTTGCAACTTCAGGGTAGAAACTACTCTGCAGTACTATTGGGTGGATGCTGGTGTGAGAAAGAAAACAAGCTTTGTTTGTTTGTATTTATTACTGTCCTAATGTGATGGTATTATATTGCACTCCTGAAATTAGGCTTTTTTTTTTTTTTTTTCCCCCAATGATTGAAAAATCCTCAATGGAATTAATTTAGAGCTGTTCTTTTAGGCAGCAAATTTGTTAGGACAGAAGAAAACTGACTGAAGTTTATGCAAGGGGCTCTTCCTGAACTAGGCCTTACATGTGTGCCACAGTGGTCTGTGCTATGTAATCCCTCCTTAGGTTCACTAATACAGATTCAGTACTAATCAGCCTTAATTCTAAACCGTACTTTAATCTTTACAGCTTTATAAAAATATGCATGAGACTTGTGAATGTTTTCCAAGCTACAGTGAGTCTGAATCATGGAGATCTACATGCTCTACTTTGCTTCTTGATCCAGATTGTTGCACGTAATAAAATAATACCTATTCTATTTTACAGATTATGTTTTCACTGAAGTATGTAGTCAGGGAATAGCTCCAGAGAGTTGCAAGTATTTTTGGCTTTTCAGCATTTTGGCTCCTTTTTTGCTTTGAAGATACCAGGTCGTTTTGGAGGAGGCAGTAAAGGGGAGTGAAAGAGAAATAAGTTACCAGAGAAACCATAGACTTAAAACCAACCTGCTGCTTCCCTCTTTTATTATGTTTTTCTTGCAAAATACAGTATTTGGGAAGCTGTACGAGTAGAAACATAAAGTATGAATCCTCTCTCCCTGTCAATTCATTCTTACAATTCTCTTGGCTTGTAGTAGTCTTTCCTCTTAGTTAATAGTATTTATGTTGCTAATAGCACAGGTTGCCATTTTATCATGGTCATGGCTATACTCCCTTATTTCTGCAATGTAGATATTCATTCTTTTTAGAATTAGTTATTGTTTGGGTGGATTTATTGTTCATGTCAATGTGCTTACATATAGGTTTCTGGACTGTACAGCATTGGTGTTATGTAATGTAACTTTCGTTGTCATATTTGACGGGACTTTCATTGTTTATGTTATTTCATAGGTTAGGCAGGGCTAAAATATTATGGAGGCAGTTAAAAGAAAGATGTGCTATTCAATCACTTTAGTAAGTGGAAGAAGAAAAGATTTGGTACAATGCTTCTAAACTGAAACTAAACCTTTAAGAAAGCTGAAAAAAAGAGAGGATGTGCATGTGATGTTAGAGGAGATGCATTTATGAAAGTGATTGGTACAGTCTTTACCAGTAAGCATTCTTTTCTTTTATCCCTTTGAGACAGTAAAAAAAGGAGGTCTACTTTTCCAGTTCTCTGGAGGCGAATTTGCTTCCTGAATTTACTGGAGCTGCAGTTGCTGGATACTTCCAAGGCACTCAGGTAGTTATCGCAGTATCCCTGTATGCTTGTGCTGTGCTTCACTTCTGCTTTCCCCTGCATCTGCTCCTTGTTGCTGTGAACAAGAGGTTGCAGGGTTAGATAGGCCTTTCAGTAAGGCAGTCCTTAGGAAGTAATTTCAAACTGCTTTGAGGCTCAGTGTTTTTTAAAATTAAGTTAGGTGCTTGGCTGACTGAAGGGAGACAAAAGCACCTCAACTTGGAAGTCTTGTGTTGAGGATTTTCAAAACTTCTTGTGATTAATGGCTTTTAAATATAATTCAGGAAGCCTTAGCATGAAAAGGCAATGTGAAATAGAAACAAAAGATTTTTAATTAATTAGAAATGCTTTTGGAACTGGCAGATAACTTTCCCCTGGGGGCCTCTAAAATATGCATAAACTGCTAGTGTTCACAGAATAAAATCTCACAACAAATCAACGAGTTGTCTCTTTAGACTCAGTGCAGCACAAAAGAGAGCTCTGAAGGAGTCAGCTTGCTGCCAAAGTAATTTTCCAACACTCTTTCCTCATGTCTTTTCATTTCATTAGTTCACTAGCTTACAAACATAATTTGTTCTTTCTATGTTTTCTTGCTATGAAAAGGGATAAAAGACTGGAAGCATTGTGGTAAATTCCTGAGGGCTCTCGTTTCAAGAATGAGTTTGGGGTTTTTTTCTCTGTCTGAAAACACATCTCCCTCACCTGACTCCTGTGATAAAAGCTTTCCACTTCTGTGCTGTCCTCAGCATTTATTGGGGAATCTGTTGTGGACCTGCATTTCTTGAAATCCCAGCATTGCGGTTTACAGATTTAACCCATGCTCTGGGTGAGGAGTGACTCAAAACTTCATGCAGTTCAGGCTAATCTGAACTGTACATTTAAAGAAAGAAAGCAAAGACTTATCCCCCACATCTACAGTAGGTAACCTATAAAGAATATTGCTTAAAACCACAGAAGCAAAATAACCCAAAACCCAAAAAAGCCCTAACCACGTATTCAGGATAAATCAGAAAAGTCTGCTGCTCTGGGTGCTTTGTGACAGAGCTGCAGGTAGGGTTTCTTTATATTGCATACCATATGTTACATCTGTGAAAAATAACATATGGATAGGCCTGTGACCTTTCACAGACTGAAAGCAACAGTGGCTTGGTATTTTTTGAGAAGCTGGTGCTGTCAGATGAAGAGCAACATGAAGAGCAAGTGGTGCTATAGAGCATGTTGGTTTCCTACCCATCCCTGCACCAGTCATTCAAAAATGTAGTGGTATTGTACTGTCATCTGGTGTGTTCATTGCTGCTTTATGTTGGGAGTACATTTATAATGTTCTGAAAGGGTTAATGTATATTAGTTAAGCATAAGTAATTTGAGCAGTAATAACAGTGTTGTGGCATTTCTCCTGGGCTACATGTATTGCTGAGAAACCCAGGCAGAATGCCAGGCTAATGTAGCTATGCAGATCTTCTGAAATTTGGATCTTTCTGCAGGATTGCACTTTGTTCTGCAATGAAACCTTTTTACAGATTAAATAATTGTGTTTCTGGGTTTACAATATGCACACAGAGGAGTCATCTGATAACTACAAGAAACAAATAGGACTAATTTTATACTGAATAAGCATCTAAGGCATATCAATTTTATCTCATGTTCTATCATGATATTTGGATTGTCCTTTTACAAAAATACCTCTGGTTGCAAACAACCTATTGACATAATAGATTATGCTACAAACTGTTGTGTTTGAACTTTCAAAGATTAAGGCTTCATTTAACTTCTATAAGCTGTTTACAAATGCTGCTTCAAAATAAGGTGTGGGAAAACATGACAAGTTGTTCTGTCTGTTGGTTCTGTCCGCTTTCTGTCTGTCATAGAATCATAGAATAGTTAGGGTTGGAAAGGACCTTAAGATCATCAAGTTCCAACCCCCCTGCCATGGGCAGGGACACCTCACACTAAACAATATCACCCAAGGCCTTGTCCAAAGAAAAGTACAAGTGAATTCAAATGAGTATATAATATCTGTATTTATTGTATTAGTGTTTATAATTTATAATTTAGATTTTTATATATTATGTAAAAGGAAGGCACATGCTTAAGGCCACATTCAGGGTTAAAACATGCTGATTTATGACTAAACTATAGTTTGTTTCTTCATACACTTTTAATGAGGTAAAAAACCCAAAATATGTTCACAAGTACTCTTTCAGGAATAGATACATACTAGTAGGTCTCCAACTAAATATGTTGCATTATGGCTGTAAATACTATACTTTGCATGAAATAAATCTTTGTAAGAGTTTTATTAATTTTTTTTTTAAAAGGGATTTCTACTTAAAACCAAGCAGCTCATGTACATCAGACGAGCTTATTATCTCTAGTACTTAGCTGTGAATACTTGGCATGCAGACTTTAGCATCATCAGGTGGAAAAGACTGGAATTTGTTCAATAGGATGACATTTATTTAGAAACTATATGATGGCTGCCTCTGTGGGGTTACAGGAAGAAAATGATGGTTGTACGATCAATGTAGAAGCAGAAAGTTGTGGGGAAGTTCAGCAAATAACAGTTGAATGCTTTGGATGGAGCACAAAATCGGGTGACAGTTCTGAAGGATGAAAATACTTGGCAGGAGGAAAGATGCTTTCATTGGATCAGCAGTCTGGGAGATAATGATCGGCAAAAAATGTGTACAACCTCTGACTTTGGCATGAGGAAAACAGTTTGTTTCTCCCCCTCCCCCTTTTTTTTCTGAAGAGGAGAATGAAAAATGTGATAATCTCTTTCTCTCTGCTTCTTTGTTGTGCAAGTTATGACATTTGACAAAAGGCAAATTACTATCAGTATTTTTGTGTACAAATTCAACATCTACTTACTTGCCAAATGTATGGATGTTTTTGGAAATGCTCACCTTTTTGGTTTTGACAAATGCTTTTGCTGCAGTGATTCGTGCCAGAAGATGCTTCCCCAAACAATAAGCCCTTTAAAAAATTGTCTTAAAGAAATACTTTGGAAAACATAAGGTCATGCAATGAATCCCTGTGTACCATAACCAGACCACTCTTTCTGTTAAGAAAATACGATTTTATTTCATTAGTGTTAAAATGTAAAATGTCAAAACTTAAGAGATAACCTTTTTAACTGAAGTTCTCCTGGATTATAGTCTTTTCAAATTCATTTGCTATCAGTTTATTGAAAGCAAGTATGAAAATAATTTATTACTACCTTTTAAGGTTCTTTTTTCTGAGCTAAATTTTCTGACATAAGTAATTTATTAGATTAATGTCAAAATTTGCAGTTTCACTTCACCCAAGGGGTGTTTCTTTATCTGGGCATTGTTACTTTTGCCTTTCTTCATCAATGATACACAGCTGTGTGTGTCATCATGCCTATCATACTCTGAACTGGAAACATAATTCCTTCCTAATAATGCACCTGCTATGAAGCACATCCTTAATGATGACATATTCATTTTTCAGAAGATGGTCCTAAAAGTTATGCAAAGTTTATAGAAAGTTTGCAGGCTGGATTGCCCTCATCACTGCTTGATTGAAAATGGTGTCTGATAACTCTTCACGCACGAACTCATCTGTGTACCCCTCTACAGAATCAGCATCCTTTTGATTGAAGATCTGGCTGTGTATCAACTATGCAATTCAAAAGAGTAGGAAGGAGCATGCTTTTCTTGTTGCAGATCTTGATTATACCATTAAAAATCAAACTATTGCTCTTCCCCTTGTTTTTCTAGAGAGTAGAATTCAGATTGAGTAGATCCAGATCTTGTGAATTCAGACAGTTTTTTATAATAAAGCGCAGGCTGTTCAAATGTACCTTGGTGGAAATAAAGACGAACTGAGTATACCATATAGGCACATGTGATATACTGTAACTAAGATACATTTTTTCCATTTATGCTCTAGTGCTGTAACTGCACTAATGGAACATTGTCATTAAAGAAATACAAATTGGATTGTCAGCTAAATTTGGTTCACTGGTACAATTCTCAAAATTTAAATTTTCTTATTTTTTTTTTTTTTCCTGCTTTTCCAGATGGTTTCTTGAGAGAACAGTTCTGGTTTAGGAAATGAACTCCACATGCTTCAGAGCATTCAGACTCTCCTTCTCCCCCCCTGCCCCCCAAGTTGCTTTGAAAGTGAAATTTTCACTGAGGTGCAAAAGTCACCTAAATCCCCCTGACAAATAGACAAATACACCTCATGCTCTGGTTAGCATGGAGAAATTCACAAAGCATGCCACTGAAATAAGTTAAAGCTTTATAGCTGACTAAAAGGATTCAGGATAAGACCTTCAAGTGTAATAAGTTCATAAAGGCCTGTAAAGTAAAGATGAAGTGTTTAAGCTGATCTTTTAGCAGCTGGGATAATGAAGGATTAGCAAATACTTTTGAACATGCCTGAAAGCTGATTGGACTTTTATCATTCTAGTCTATGATCATTTGATTTACAATAATGTAATATACCATCACGGCAACTTTTCTGCTGATGCCAAGTACAAAACAACTCTTGGAGAACAAAAAGGGATATAAATGGTATCTGACTTTTTTTGCAAGTCTACAGGAACTTCCAGACATTTTCTAGGGCAGATCTAATACAGTTGGATAAGGGCTAAGCAGTCATTTAGTTTTCTATAACTGCTTGTGTACCTGGTACAAGATTATCGTACACTTTCAGAAGCTTGTTCAAGACCAAGTTGGACGAGGCCTTTGGTGATATGATTTAGCGTAAGGTGTCCCTGCCCATGGCAGGGGGGTTGGAACTAGATGATCTTAAGGTCCTTTCCAACCCTAACTATTCTATGATTCTATTTAGGGTGTTTCTATTCAATGCAGTGTTATTCCAGTATATCATCTGAGGACAAATAGCCCTACTATTTCATAATCTGCTCTACATCTGTTAAGAAATCTTTTGACAGTTAAGATCACGGCTGTTCAACATCATCAGGTTTTCTGTCAGGGTAGATCAGGCTGTGTAATCGGCCATAAAGTCACCATTGTAAACTTCTTACAACTCCAGTGACTTCTGCATTAATATTCCCAAACTGCAGTCATAGTCCTTAGTCTCTGTTTATGGGTCACAGCGATGGAAATACCCTGTTACTGGAATGCTCTGGTTTCCCTTTAAGGTGATTCTCTTTGAGGTAGTCACTCATTCCTTTGAGGTAGTTCTGATGCATGATTTTTGTATGCCCAGAAAATTGAGCCACACTTACTGAAATGAGAAAAAGTACATTTAATAAACCAACTTTGAATTTTAAATGCTGTTCTTACTAAACCAAATCATCTTACCACTCCTGATTTTTCTCTTCAGCATGTTGGATTCAGAATACTTAATCCTATAGGGTAGACAGTCCTTTTTTCTTTGGTTCCTTTCTAAAGGTGATCAAAGGAGCATCATTGCTACTGATTATCTTAATATTAAACAGCTGTTTGATTAGTAGTTTTTTCTCTTTTTTTAGAAAAATATTTCAACCTCTATCCGTAAAGTGTAATTTCGTTGTTATTTTTAATTACAACCCTCCTTCTTTCTTAAAATAAATAGGACTCAGTGTTGCTTACTGTGCAACTGACATCATGTAAAGTAACAAGGGCTCCTTTTGAAATTTTGTTTTAGAGATTCACTCTTCAAAGGATTATTTTTTTTTTTCTAGTTTCAAGCCCAGCCTTATTTATAATTAATTCATAGCCATATGGTCATCACCTTTGCCTTTTTCTTTAAAGAGCTCTTCTAAGAATTTGGTGGTTTACTACCATCGCTAACCAGAAATAAATACCAGCCCTTCCACCTCCATCCTGGCAGTTGTTGATTCATGTTAATGGAATGTAGATAACTGGACCCGTACCAGGGCATGTTTGGGAAGATACCTCAGTAATATAGCAACATCAATACTTGTTTATCTGTACCAGAAATGTGAATGATTTTTAATAAATGCCTCATTTATAGTGTATGATCTTTCTCCTTCTGCTTCTCAAACCCATCGTTTTCCATCAAATAATATAGATATGAAACCCTTTCACTTTGCACTGTTGAATTGTTTTCCATTTCTGTCTCTAATTTCCGTCTTGTCCATTCCCATAATTTATTTCAGTCATCTGTTCATTGATGCTCTCTCTCTGTTCAGATTTTTAATTAATACTGGGCAATAAGGTTAAACAAAAAATCTGCTTCTACACACTATGGGAGAAGACAGCAGATGGACAGGAAAAAGAAATACATTTCAAAGAGGACATCTCTTCCACTACTTGTCCCCTGTAGATTCATATGGAAGAAGCAGACTTCACTGATGGAGCTGATAAAGCGTTACCCAGTTTGCTGATGAGACAAGGTGAAGTGAAAGCTCTGCTGCATTCACCATTATCATGATGAATAAATAAATTTTATTAATGATTATTTGTAGTATTTAAATTAGTATTTATTTAGTATTTAAGTTATTTTACAAGCTGAAGAAAACTGTATAAGCACATGCTGAAATAATTCTTCCTTTACACTAGAACCTTAGTCTTTCAGTGTTTCATGCATTTTACTAGCTTTAGATTAATCCCATTGAAGTTACCCATGTGCTTAAGTTTGCTTTTGACCTGTAACTAGCAAACAGTTATGTTTCTGAAGTCTTAGATATTCTTGTGGGATAAAACCTTGCTGGCACTTCCTTGGATTCCAAGGAAGTCTGAAAGCCCCAAGAAGCCTTGCCCATGCCTCTTCATGCATGCTGAACTATATCATCTTGTCCTTTTAACCTCCTGTTCCTCAGAGAGAGAAAGAGGAAGTGTAGCATGTCCCCTGCAGTGCAACAACTCAGCTCTGCTGAAGGCTGATAAGAGGAAATACTCTCTCCTCTAAGAA